ATGTCCCACACTGGAAAAACAATCTAGAAATAAGTAAAATTTCCTTAAATTAAGTGTATTTATTCTTAATTTGAGTACATAAATGAGATGATTTGCCAATGGAATGAGTATTTAGACACTTAAAATAAGATAATTAGATAAAAATGCACTTGAAATGAGACAATGCAATTGTATTTTCTTATTTTAATTGTAAATTCTCTTGTTCCTTTGGCAAAATTTCTCTTTTACCTCCTCAATCCAAGAACAAATGCACTTATTTTAAGAAAAAATGACTTATCTTGATTCAGATTTTTTCCAGTGCATTTTCATCGGCCATACATAAAATCACGATAATAATAAACTTAGAGGCTTTATAACAAAATTATTTTTGCCGATGATGTATCCAATGGGGACCATAAGGGTCAATAGGGCAATTAGATCGTTGTGAGTTGGTTTTCACAATCAATGTGATGGGATGGTTGTGGCTGTACATGCAAGGCCAAATTATATTATGAAATAAATGCACTCTTAGTATTTGATTATGCTTTAACTAAATGTACAGCAAAGTTCAGTAAAGTCATTACTGAACCTGTAACCATTTTTCTCAGTAAATACATTTCTAGAGTTGTTATTGACAAGATTTTCACCAGATGTCGGTAAAAATCCATGCAATCCACACCTGCAGAGAAATCAAACCATAGATGTTATGAGATTAGGAAATGTCAGAAATTAAGTTATGTGTAATAAAGTGAAATTTAGAAAAAAGTATTGAAGACGTGAAGAAAGGAAGGAGCAAAAAGGCATGTTCCAGTGAGAACTGTTAGGGCCTTAATCCAGAGAGGAAAGAGCATAATTTAACCATAAACTGACCACGACCAGGTGTTTCTCACAAGATATCTGTGAAAAGAATTATCAGAAGAGTCAGAGACCACATGTGGAGATTTTTAGAAAGACCTGGAATTACCATGGCCTGCATGCACGCTCACCACCAAGCAGACCCTTTGCTGAAGAAAAAACATGATGGAGCTTGTTTAAAGTTTGCTGCACAACATTTAAACGATTTACCTGCATTAAATAGTCAGATCTGGACAAACATAACAGAGAAGGGAGCAGAAGGACAACAGTCCCCTTCAGCCTTTCTCTGCTAATCCTCCTCACACCTCGGCTGAAATCGCTCACGGTGTCAGGTTAGGAACCGGTTTGGTTGTGGGTTTCTCCCTTTGTTTGGGTTTTATTTTCAGAGGAAGCTGACCTCTTGTGTTTTCCTTTCCCGAGGCGGTTACTGAGAGGTCATGAGGCGGGTTGCTGAATGGAGGAGTAAAAGCGTAGGAGTAAAGGAATTCTCTGAATCCATGTTTTCTCTTATTAAGGTGAAGCACCAACACTGCAAAAACGATCTAAAATTAAGTAAAAAATTCTTGAATAAAGTGTACTTGCCCTTAATTTTAGTAAGTTAATGAGGTAATTTGCCAATGGAATGAGTATTTTTACTCTTAAAATAAAAATAAATACATAATATGCACTAGTAATAAGACAATGCAATTGCTTTTTCTTTTTTTAAATGTAAATTATCTTGTTTAATTGGAAAAGTGTCTTGAAAAAATGCAATTGTTTTAAGAAACCATGACTTACTTAGATTTCAGTTTTTTGCAGTGAATATTTTTTATCAGCTTAGGAGTGTAAAAAGGTTGAATTTGACTCTATGGTAAAATTACCAGTATTAGAAACTGACCGATACATCAGATGGACGATATTTTCATCTTGTATGAGTGCATGGAGGAAATTTTGATTTCAGAAGTCACGGGGGACGCAAGAGTTTTTTAATATAACTGTTATATACAAGTTTAGCGTGTTTTCTGGTCGTTCTTCTCTGTATGTTTCCTCCACATTCTCTTGCATCTCTGCTATGCCTCTCCTGACAAAACATGAACAATTGGATAATTGGGGCTGCAACAACCCATGTAGAATAAAAACACATAGCTTTACACTCTATTATGAGCCTGGATATATAGAATTACATTCAGAGATTTTATTCTTTTGCTTTTTTTCCTTTTTTGTTGATTTTTTTATCAGTACTTTTAATAAAACAAATATACTTAAAGACAACAATAACAAACAAGGTTATTGAGAGCTTTATGATGCGGTGGAGGATGTTGAAGTGGATCTGCTGCTTTATGGAGCCAGTGAAGGTGTTTTATGAGGGGTGTTATACAGCTCTTTGAATGTAACTCTTTATTTTTCAGACATTCTGGCTGCGAGTCTAATAACCAAACAGACGCATGCGCATTAAAAACAAAGATTTGTGTAAATTAAAGCGTATGATATTAAAGCTCTTCTAGATCACGTGAACAAATGCAAAAAACAAGTTCCCACACTGCAAAAAATATAAATCTAGAGAAGTTATTTTTTCTTAAAATAAGTGCATTTGTTCTTGAATTGAGGAGGTAAAAGAGACAATTTGCCAATGGAACAAGACAATTTACACTTAAAATAAGAAAATACAATTGCATTGTCTTATTTCAAATGCATATTATCTAAT